AATAATGTTAGGCGTAGAATTTTCTTGACTAATTGAATCGATTGATACTGGTTTGGTTTCGGTATTAGAATTTATGGTAGTGCTCTCTTTTTGTTCGGTTGTTTGAGGTAGTGTTTGTTGAGTTGTCTGGAAAGTGGACGTTTCTACGACAGGTGAACTAGTCACGGGCGTGCTACTCGTTGTTGAGGGGACAACTATTTCTTTACTTTTCGTGATGGTTGTTTCCTGGAACGTGCTACTCGTTGTTAAAGGGGAAGATTCTATTTCTGATCCTTTTGTGGTGGCTGTAACCTTGTTGCTTGGAAGACTAGTCGAAGGCCTTTTTTGATTTTCGTTTATTTGTTGATGTTGCATTTGATCCCTTATGGCTGATATATCTGTTATGTAACATTACGAACATTAAAAGATTATTTGTCATATTGATCGTTTGAAAGTAAATTTACTATTTTGAAAATCTTTAGTAATGTTTTACTTTTTATAAGATTTCTACTTTAATAGTATTGTTAATTATATTTGCATTAATTATTTTCTTGAAGAATGTTCTAATCTCACCATTGGACAATTTCTTCAAAAGCGAAATAATTTCTTTCTGTGACTTTTCCATTCCTGTGATCATCTCATTTATATCGGGTATTTTCTCTGCATCACTGTCGTCATCTTCCTCATCGTCGTCTTTAAAAATATCACTGATAGATGGAAAATTAGGAATATTCCAAGAATTTTGAAAAGATGACCATAGCCTTGGACGTTGCTCTAAGAAATGTATATCTTTTTTAATTCTATCTAGTTTTTCTTCATTGTTTACAGGAGTACCTAAATAAAGAAAAAAATATAATTGTAACTCGTATTTTTATCACAAACATAGTTTACAAAAATCAGTAACATATGTAATAAAAAAAGTCAGCTTGTGTGAAGAAAGCACGGAAAATCATAAGTTAGAGTTGGTTTATTAAATGATATTGCGTTTGAATGAGTCACGAACAGTATATACATTTTGCAATTACTCATATTAAATTTCGTTTACGTCAAACCTTTCGTTATTCATATTTACGAAAGAAAATAATATAATGAAATAAATTGAAGGTTTCTTTATCGGCTAATTAAATGTAAAGCTTACATTTGGTACCGTGTAACAGTTGTAGGGCTACCAGAATTAGAAATGCAATAGTCGACATATTTATTATTTTTACTATTTCCACAATTATGTTTTTCTTTTTCTTCCAAGCTTTTCACCCGACGAAATTTCGGTCAATACTGAAGAATTGAAAATTGTCCTTTCGCCTTATATAGGCGTTTCGAAAATGCTAAGACTAAAAGCAAAGAAGAAGCATTAACCTAATGAGTCTCGTTCCATTGGTCTTATCCACATCTACAAGTATATTAGCTTCTTTGTATTTTCCTACCTTGTTCATTGAAGTTTCCAAAGAGGGTTCTAGATAAACGCTTGGAATTGTTTCCTTATTTTATAGCACTTAAGGTATGCTTAAAACAAGAGCTCTCTTTATATTTCATTTGGCAAGAAAAGAATTTGTTAATCTCACGCATGGAATTTGTATATTGAAAGATGAATCATGAAATTCTCTTTTCGATTATAATATGTTTATAAATTCTGAAGAATAAAACAATCTTGAAAGAATTATAAATATTGTGCATCGAATTTATTAATATTTTTATTTCTAATCTAAATTGATTGTCTCGTTAAGATATCTTTAAAAGAACATTAACGAGAATGCTATTGCTTACTTTGGTAATGAATTTTATCAATCGATGTATCAAGGAAAATAGATTTTAAAGAACAGAATGAAATTGTTGTTCATGGTAATGAATTATTACGTACGAGGTAAGCTACTTTCGCCAGTGTGGGTATTTCCCAGTATTATAATGATCAATAGCGTCAGCCACGTTCGTATCAAAAACTAATAACTAACAACGCCGTTGTTGGATCTTCAATGATTCTTCGTACACGCTTTTGTACTTATCACAAATGGAAAACTTCGTAGGTGATTGGACGATATTGCTGGCATGAGACGATTCTTCGAAATATGACGATTCAAACGAAAATTTTCAAGTATTTTCATTTTCGAACATTTTCATTTTCGAGACTTTTCGATTGAATCGAGGATGCTCAATTAACGGTCGACAACAAATTCGAACATTCTAATCTAAACAAAACAATTCCTGATATGTAATATTATTTCACGTGCATTCGACATCTGTACACACATGTGGATAGATAAATATTGCAAGGATATAATTTACTTTCGATGAGTCGTACGCTGATATTTTTTTCGCGGCCTCCTCTACCAACATTTCCAGACCGATCAGAATATTATCACTCTTGTTTTATTTCTTCTTTGAATAATGACCTGAGTGACTAATATTTTAATGTTAATTATTTTAATGATTTAATGCTCTGATGATTTTGGATAAACCTTTATACATATATATGTGTTTCTCGAGTCAGACAATTATTTTCAGCATATTCCAGGAAGTAATTTATTCCATTATTTGTCTTTGTTATACCTTTTTTCGCATACAAAATTTAGAATACAAACCTTACAATCAATAAAAATATAATACATATAATTATATATACTTTATATCTTCGTATTTTAAATGTATTTTTAATGTATTTTAAATTTACTTTTATAAGTATATACGACATTAAATGTATTGTTCGAAACAATAAAACCGAATGAGATTCATCGTTGAGCCCTGTGATATTTCAAACTCTTAAATAACAACTTTACGTGATTTTCTCTGTCTTCATTCTATAATAACATTCTAACAATTTACTGCATAATATTCTTCGAATTGTAAACGTTGGCAGGTAGTAATTTGATAGCTGCTACCCATTAATCGATGAACCATCGATATTAAATTTAATTATTATTTGATTTTTCCGATCGATCCCTAGAGAATCGACAGATATTCTTCCTCCTCGCTACATATGATTCTTCGAGGGGTGCGAGAAACTTTATTTTTCGATTCTCGACGATCGATTATCAACGTAACAGGATATGCCAGACCAGTCACGATCCGGTTGCTTATAAATAATTACTCGTTTCTACTTCTGTGAAAGCGAAAAAGAGCGTCTTATCTTTACGGTGTTTTTATTCATTACCATATTTTTCTTCTCCTTTTAATAATAATAATATCTCTTTTAATAAGACAAAACAAAAATCATGGTCGAAATAAGTTAATTCGATTGTTTGAATAACTAGAAAGAACTTTGACCATCGATTAGCTTGGCCATACATTATCGTTCAGGGTTATCAACTATTTCGCTCAAACGATTAAGAAATTTTTCTACGAGGTTCGTCGAACGTACAGAAATGAATGGAGATTTTGGTCGATTACGTATGCATGATGATCGTTACGACCTAATATAGACCAGACAACATCATTGCCAAGGTCTATGCGATTAATATTATAAGAAAATAAATTAGTCAAAAGATACGAGATCTCTATGAATATAATCGCGTTTACATATAAATTATTTATGCGTATGTAATCAAAATTAAGCGAAAAAGAAATATATGAAAAAATACAACTCAAATTTAGCTCGATTAACAATAAGTATGATTAAGTTTCATTCGTTTATCATACGATCTCGTTAATCCAAGCAATATTTCATTCCTGTTTTCGAATAATTTCTGAAGAAACGTGAACACATTTCTACTTAAGAACAACTTTTATATAGTTTGTTCGTTATGAGAAAAAAATAAATATTCAATAATATATAATATATATATATAAAAGTATATGTCGAAAGATTACATCATTCATTAAGACGGTTCAAAAAAGGATGAACTTTTTTTGGAATTCCAACGTTTCGATCATCGTACACACACTCGTAATAGCTCGATGATGATGTAGGAGGGAAGACGAGTTCTTTTTCTTCTTCCACGTCGAAGTTTTCGCGAACGCAGGCTATCGCGCCTGAAAAAGATGCTTTCAGGAGGTAACGTTGTTGATACGAGCGAATGCTATATAAGATGTTCGCCAACTCCAGCTGACTCAGTAGTCATTCTCTTGCAACACAACGTACGTCAGAATTTTCGTGGCAAAATTTTTGTTCGCGCGTTCTCCGCTTGTTAGATCAACGATATATCAACGAATAAAAAGAGACCAATAAGGGCGAAACGTAATAAAATTCTATTTTTTTTTTTTCCATTTTGGTTTCTCTACTATTCTTTCTTTTTTTTCTCTTATTTTTTTTGCATTTTTGTCGTTACTGTTATTTAAGGCACATCATAATTTGAACGATCTATACTTGCGATGGATATCAGACTGTACGGTCTACTGCTCATTTTTGCAGTCGTTGGATCCAACGCCGATTTGAATTCCTTTTCCCGTGGTAGTAGAAGTCGTAGAGGTGAGTACTAATTAATCAGAATATCATTTTCTTTTCAAATATATTCATTAATACGAAATAGAAAGAAGAAAAAAACAATGTAACCATTCTTGGACGGTACGAGTTATGTTCGTTTTTATACGCAAACTTCGTATACTAATTGTAAGAGACCACACGTTCGTGCACTAACACGTAAACGTATTCTTATTCGATCATTGTCGTGTAAATATGTATATATGTCTGTCATTTATGCTAACATTAACAGACAAAAGAGACTGTAATGATTAAAAGAACGAATTGTTTTTATTTTTTTTTATTTTTACGTATCATACTACTTCTATTTTTATGTATAACATGCATTTATGTTTTGTATAATATTATATATGCGCTATAATATGGAAATTTGTCGATCGCTTCTAAGACGTCATGGGACGAAAAAGGGGAAATCATTTTTTAATCGCTAATCTACGAGATTAATAATAAAAAGAAACAAATTCGAAGCTATCTTACGTAAACGCAAATCGCCTTGTGCGTTTAAGACAAAATTGCCGAGAACCGGGATTTCAAAGACTGTTGCAAGATAACCGAGACGTAAATTCGTTCGTCTGTGAAAATGTCTTGACAACTTCATTTATATAACAAATCATGAGAGGAAAGTTAGAAATAAAAAGTGCCACCTATTCTTCTTAACTTCGAAATTGTTTAGTAATCGTCTAGAAGAGATCGATCGATTTTATTACATATTTTTTTTTTCTTGATCTAAACATAACGTTTTTATCTGTCTATTATATTTAGTAGTCAACATTTTTAATCTTATTTTTTTAACTGTTTATCATCGCGAATACTAACGTTTATATGTTTTATATATGTACCTGTACAGTCATAGGAATTAAACATAAGCGTGAGTAAGATACGTATATGTATGTATGTGTGTATGTATATATATATTTATTATGTAGCGATAAATCACATCGAACATATGTTTAAAGTTTTGAATCAATTTGAATATTATTCGATACCAAGAATTCATAAAAATTTTGAAAACGTTTAAAAGCCTTAGAATATGTTAATTAATGTTGAATCCCATATGTATATATGTATAACATAAATAATGATTTTCAATTTGAAATTATGGTTATTATCAAATTTTGTATGGTTATATCATATCGCAAAATATTTACATATATTTAAAACAAGATTGAAAAAATGATTTAACTATTACGTCTTATAAGATTTTCTAAGACTTTCAAGAATTTCCGGTTTCGTCTAATGCGCAAAGTGATTCGAAACTTCGATCGAATCGTACTTGCAAAATAAACTATCATCTCTATGTATCTATGTACGTGTATATGTATGTGTCTATAATCGCGATAATAGATAGTCATATCCGTCTATCGATGTATGTATAAATAATAATAGCGGCATAGTGTGGTGTATCGTTGTTCGCATGTAATATGCATGTAAAACGACAAGTATCACGGTCTACAGTGAAATAATCTACCGAGACGTTTCTGAACCATGACCTCGTTTCTGTTCCCTACCTTGACCCGGACAGAAGCATCGATATTTTCCTTTCCCTCCGTTTCCTCTTTATGTTTTCTTATCGTTCTGCATCTCATCGCCATAATAGCAATCCAAAACGAATCGTTTATTCTTCATTTAAATGACAATGAATGTCTTTTTGCTTTTCAAACTTTCTCCAAGTATGCTCTTCAAATGAAAAATCATTGCAAAAATCTGGTTAGACGTGTTTTATCGTACTTACGTGACAAGAAGACATTTTTCTTATTCCTTTCTCGGTTCGATAACGTTGAATCGGGTTATATCTATACGAACGTAGAAAGAATTCTATAAACGCGCGTTGAATAAAATCATATCAAGTCAATTTCACTTTTATGTTGATTAACATATTACGTTGAAATATTAAATGTGCTTTGTGTTTGTGGTAAAAGAAGTCGAATGGTATCTTTGGATTAATAGCATGTATACGAGTAGGTTCAATGAAAATTCAAATATAATTAATCGGATAATCCTACGTGTGTTATGTTTTTTATCGATCAAGATGTCGAAAGGACCGTTGATAGTTACGGGCTGGAAGACTACGATTTAGTCAAGATAATTAAACGTGCAGCTGATTCCAAGGAGACCTATATTAAAATTACTACTGAGAGTAATGAAGATAGCACTAGTCTTACGACCAAAAGTCCTGGCACTAAAAGTACTGGCACTAAGACTCCTGGCACTACGAATCCTAGCACTACAAGTCCTAGCACCACGAAAGCTACTTCACCGAAATCTAAATCGACCAAACCACCAAGCACCACCTCCAATGCAATCTCGTCTAAACCTACGACTAAATCAGATCCCACATCAACAGAAACGACTACGAAACCTAGCACCGAAGCAACGAATAAGCCTCAGTTGGGATCAAGATCGGGATTCGACCCAAAAGATGATTCTACATCGAAGCCAACTAATCCAGATGAAAAAACGGACAAAAAACCATCGGCCTTATCACCTCGAACGAAAGCAGATATGCCCGATAACAAAGACAAGAGTCCATCCTCACCGCCAGATTCTAATCCTAACGGATCAAGATTTAATCCGAGTTTTCCGCAACCTGGAGGTTACCCATTCCCAGGATTTAACTCTATACCACCTTACGGCCCTAATTATGCAATTACCAGTACTAGTCATGGTCCCGGATTGGCGAGTGCATCGGCTAGCAGTTTCGCCAGCTCTGGTGCATCATCGTTGAGTAATCCAGGCAATCCACCCTTCAATTCGCGCGGTGGATTTTATTTTAATAATCCTTACTACAATCCCAATGTGAAACCTATGACAAATTCTCGTTCTTATATCGATACGGAAGACAAACCTAAATCTTCGAATAGTCCGCCAACTGGAAACAATGCCAATCCAATTAATAATCCTAACTCTATACCATCCAGCGGCCCACAAAATTTCCCAAGTCGTTCTTTCGGAGGTCCTTACAGTCCCAATTTCGATTATCCTCCCGCGAATGGAGTTCAGGGACCTAATTATGCCTGGACTGATTCTGGACCCGGATACGCAGGAGCATCTGCAGGTGCTTCCTATAATTCTGGATCACCAGGATTCGATAGTCGTGGCAATTTCCCCGATAATAGTGCTGGAACCGCATTTCCGGATAATTCAGCATACTCTCCTGATGTCGTAGGTAGGAGCATGACTGTCTGATCTAATGAATAGATCAATTGTATTCAAAACCTTTGTAGTAGTTACTCGAAAAATGTTCCTTTCATTATTGGAACCTAATGTTATTCGAGTAGAAATGATATGAAAATTAATTTCAAATTAAAAAAACGAAGAAAACAATTTAAGCATTATCTCGTTAAAATAGTTTAAATGCTTATTTATTATTAACGTAGACAATCATGAAATCTGTTTGAAAAGACAGATCATTAGGATTTGTAATAATACGGAAAAGTACGAGTTCCCACTTTACCTAAAACCACGATTCGTTGATGAATGATCGCGTAGAATGTTAATGAGTGTAAAGCGATATGTCGAAAACGTATGAGTATATTCTATAGTCTATACAATAATAATTGTAAAATATCAAATCTAGTTCTTTTTAGCAATTTAGTATTACAAATAAGTTCAATTAACCCTTTGAAAATATCATCAAATGACAAGGAGATATCCACTAAATGTCTTAATTTTATTTATCGTCCGTTTTTGATAATGAACATTTTTAAAGGGTTAAAGAAATAACTTTAAATAGAATTCAATAGCAAATTTTACATAAATGAATGTTAAACGTTCTATAGGTGCTGGTTTCCAACCTAGATTCAACCCTGGATTTGGCTCTGATTTTGACAACGGCTTCTCATTCCATCAACGCATGATGGAAGATCATTTCAGACGCATTCAAGCACAAATGGAAGCTCAACAACGAGCGTGAGTTTTTCGTCGAGTGTTTCCCAATTTGATTTTAACACAAATATAATTTTGTTTTTTGAACATACAGCTTATTCGACGCAAGTAACGGAATAGGAAGTGGTACTGGTGGTCCTGGTGGTTATGGTTATGGTTACAGTTCTTCTGATCCAGGAGTGCAGTCCGCTATTTCAAGTATTAGTGTCGGACCTGAAGGTGGTTACCAGGCTGGTCAGATAAGTCCTGTAAGTTTATCATTTAACGATCTAATTATCTTGCAACTACCTATTGTTTTAACATCTAATCATTTATATCTAATTTTGTAGATCATAAATGAATCGTTAATTCCTATAAAGATATTAATAAATAATTATAATTTATTAACGTGAATGATATAGGTTGCACCAGGAGTAGAGTCTCGATTTGCTGACCCATTACCAGCACCGTCAGGAGGAAGTGTTGGTGTTTTTGCTAGTTCCCGATCTTCCAGTGTTACAGATGGTACTGGAAGGACTATTGCTCATAAATCCGCAACCACTGGATTAAATGACAATGGAAAGATTACTTTCCGTACTGTCGAAGATTAATAATATTATTTAATATATTAATATTCAATTACGTGCTATATTATTATAGAAATATGTATACAAAAAAAATATATATATATATATATATATATATTTCTATATGCATATAATATGTATAACCGTATGTAATATGCAAATGTATAAGTTCAATTAAACTAACCTTCGCATCAAGCGTAAAGCGAGATGTTTATTTCTCAGGGTAATTAATACAAATTGCAAATTTTACTTTCTAAATATTACCTTATATGAGTAGGAAATAAAAGGGTTAAAAAAAAAGAAAAACAATAAGATAAAATATTAAAAATACTCGTTTGCATTTGCTAAACGTATCGTTTTAGAAGATTTTTCATATTTATTTTTAATCAAATATCATTGTAACTTTCATGATAAAAAATAAAGACAAGTGACTTTACGAAATTTTCATAGTATTCGTTCTCTTTCCTTGTTTTCATTCGCGTTTACATTCACAACAGGAGAATCCTTATATGATGATAGTCGCATTGTTTTTAAGATCTAGAAATCTCTTACTCCTCGGACTGCTTCGTTTTACTAAGCGGAGGTTCGATCTTATCGTCAACTTTAACTCTTCGCGGAAACCATGGCCTAGAATCTTGAAAACCTTTGTTGTATACATGCTGCTCGTAATTACGCGTGTTATACCAAGTCGGATATATTCTTCCGTAGTTCCTTCGATCTTGAAAACTAACTTCCTCGTTGTTTGGTTCTGCAAATCCACGGACTTGAACCTAATGTAATTGGCAAAAAAAGAAAATAAATGGTACGACGTGTTACGAAAGATATCACATTATTTAAAACACAATTACAAACAATTTCTCATTGTCTTCTTTAATTATCTTTGAAATACTTAATAAATTAAAGCAGTCTGTGTGTGTGTCAAATTGTTATTGTGTAATTGAAAAATATAATACTTGACTTATCTCAATGTATATATGTTAACTTTTCTGAATTGTTATAAAAACGTGATTAATTATTTAATGCAGAAATTATAAGAGCAAAATTTTGTATTTGTTTGTTCTCGTACGTTTTATGCATAAGAGACTAGAAATAAATTAAATTGATTATCGCATAAAAATATTAAATTAAAATGAATGAATTTTTTCGATAAGAAGAAAGAACATAATTACTTGCGGTATATTGTTGTTACGTAGAAGATGAGTGAAAGTTGGTTTCACATAATCATGAAGATGAAACACGGGAGGTGGCATGGGAGGTGGCATGGGAGGTGGCATGGGAGATGACACGGGAGATGACTTTTCTTCGATGCCTCGAAATCCATCGATGACAGGAATTTCGTTGACTTCGATGTTCGGCTTCGTGTTCACAGTGATTATGGTTATATGTACGTCCGTGACAATGTTGCCTACTTCATCGGTTCTTGATGAAACCGATACGTCGCAAACACCATTTTCGCAGGAATCTGCATTCGATCTCTTTCCTGTCTCGTTTCCGTTTACAAAAATTCTTACATTGTTTATTACAGCGTTTGCCGTTTTTCCCGGCAACCCCTAAAACAAAATTCGCAATTGTAGCGTTTATTGTTTAATAAATGATCATTATTTGAAATATAAGTTTGCATTTTTAATATAAGACTGGAAATAAATGTTATCAATAAACTATCATCAATGTTTCTTTTAAAAATCTTAGGCACCATGACCTGTTACACATTGGCGCTCATCATACTTCTTATGCCTATCATAATTGCATTAAGAGAATGTCTCAATCAGTTAATCATTTTCATCGACATATAGATCTGTTCAACCAGTTTATATCCTCTTTTAAATTCTGTTTAAATGGACTATAAAATTTGTCTAAAGTTATTGTAATTCATTGTAAATATCCGTATACATATTCTTTTTTATCTATACTACTTTTATTATTTATTATTTATATATATTATTTATTAATTTTTTTTACTTTTCCCTTTCTTTTTATTGTTTTTTTTTTTTTATACTAATAGGTTTATCTCATATAAATAATTATCCGAAGAAAATATGTTAACTAGAGAGAGTTTCTTAAAAAGAAACTAGGTCTTTGGTGCTTTCGGTAAAGAATAAATGAGAAATAAAGAAATACGAGTAAAATGCGCCCCACTCGCCATAAAAGTCATACTTTTTACAGTTTATGTCGTTGGGAATACTCGTAAAACGATTTTACGCGGTACGCGTCTCGAGTATTTCTTGTTTCCAAAGAAAATAAATGAAACGTTAACATTCCCTGTATAACCCTCTCTTTCCTTTTCTTTATTCCCCTTTCCTGTGAAATGGATTCGCGAGTTACGGTCCAGAATTTATAATATCCTTCCCTCTATAGAAATGCATAAGTCATCGCTTTGCAAAGCCCATTTATCAAATTCAAACCACAACTTTTTTCTATTTATTTCAATTAGACGATAAATATGACGATAAATTGTATGTTTTGTCATCAAATATATCGATACTAATTTTAATTATCGTAAATATTCGTCGACCACTAAAGTATAGACACTTTTTAATATTATTATTTATAAACATAAAACATTACTAATTAAATTCTAAAAAAAATGCTCACTAATGATTGATGCATTCTTCGTTTTCTCAAATCTTCTGGGAAACTTGATCTTACGAAAGATTGTCTCGATCGATGTAACCATGGGTTGTTGAATTGTTCGTTAATGCGTATCGAAGGACCTTTTGGTACATTTATGGTTCTTTCCTTTTGGTTTGAGACGACGACAGGATGATCAGAAGATGTTTCATGGATTTCGTTCGAGTCGAGATCTATCTTCGAGGAGACGTTTAAATCGGAAATTGTTTCCTTGATGAAGATAATAGTCAGATAAACGATCGACCATTTTGCAAGTTTTTTCATCTCGTCTGAAAACGAAAAAAAAGGAAAGAAAAAAGAAGACGAAAGGAACTCGACAAGTTGACTGATTTTTTCGTCGTCACTGACTGAAAGACAAATATCAAATCCGTCGTTCTTACTAACGTCAAAGTCGTGGTTATCTTGGTCATTTAAAAAAAAAAAAAGGGGTAGGGAGATGAAATGTACGAGATGCGTGCAAGATAATAACGATCGTTGCTCGAGAAAATTGCAATGGCCTTCGCGAATCCTAAGAATATAATAAAAGAAAAATCAAGATACGAAGGAGAAATCGAAAAGAAGAATTTTTTTTATATCGGATAATGTGTCTTGGATTGCCGATCTTAATTACTTCCTGAACTTATTTGCTATAAGATCTAAGATTATTATACCTGTTAATTGAGATGGTTTAATTAGCGTAGAAAAATCAATGAATTAGACATTGACAATTTTAACGTGAAAGATAATAATGATCATCGATTATAATTACATATTTTGAATATCAATTATTATTAAGGATTAACTTTTTTCATACCTTATTTCTAATATAATATATTTGATATTATTGATTCTACAAACGAATTAGACAAAGATCATAGAAAAATACTGACACGAATAATCGAAATATTTTCTCGCGTCGTTGATTGAATTAAAACTCGTTCATAAATCCCATTTGTCGCGTTATCGGTAAATCAGAGAAATATATATATATAAGTTGGTTAGTTATATAGGCGTGAAGAGAATCGTCGAAAAGCTCGTAGGAAGAAAGTGGCGTGCAACTCGGAAGAGGAGCGGTATGCACTTTATCGCGCGTAATTACGGCCGGTTAATTACGGCGGAGTATGCACGTCGGTACAAAAACAAAGGGTGAAGACGGAGAGCCCTTGTTAGACCACCAGGAGTCGTTGTGAATGAACGGCAAAAGGCGTGCTCGCGAGAACGCACCCACACGAGAACATCTACACGCGCACACACACACAGATAACACTAACTCATAGACGATATTATCTCTCAGCTCGTCGTTTCTTAAGTGCATACATACATGCATAGGTACATACATACATACATAGCAGAAATAGCTACTCCAAAATGCACCCTAGAATCCCATGATTGCAGTGACTACACATACTCGGCCGATAGTAATTCTAGTCGGCCTGCAAAGCGGCCTCGATGTTTGCCCAAAGTTTGCCGTCAACGAAGGGTCGTCGAGCTCATTGAAATTCATTAAATCCGTTCCTCGTCCCTGCGAGTAGACCTTTTGCAACTTCCTAAATAAACGCATTCTCTTATTCTTTCTTTTCCCTTAATGTCGACCGACTTCCGATCTTTCCTTTTTAAATTTTATAATCCGTGAACTTTAATTTCACAGATATGTAGATTTATGTTTAATGCTTATTAAAAATATAGATTAATTATTTATTATCAATATTATACATTTTGTTTTTTGATATTTCTTTTCTAATATTGAAATAAATTCGATTATGCCGAGAATATCATTTTCTAATAATTTTAAATCCGATTATTTCAGTTGGCTTGAGTTTAAATTCAGACTTGAAACCCTTTCCTTCGGTTATATCACGAGTACATTTAAACTTGGAAATCATGGATTCACGTACTCTTGCATACGTGTGATTACGCTCGTGACGCGCTCAACAATGAATCGTTTCTACCTTCTCGTCTTGTTACGTAAATCCTCTGGGATCCTGTGACGTTACGAGATAGTGTGATTGAATGGAAATAGCTTTATTTCTCTCTACCTTTATCTCTCTCTGCTTTGTCTATTTTTTTTTCTTTTCGTCTACATCTATTATATTATATCTACATATCTCTTTCTTGATATTATTCGCAATTTAATTTATATAAATGTTAAATTTTGATATTTTTATATACGAGATACAAAAAATTAATAAAAATTAATTACAAAATATAATTATATATTTATCGTCCTTTTTTCATTACTATTCTATCGTTCGTTGTATTTAATATTTCATTTGTTATAATAATAAAAAAACAATCTCGATCTGTAATAAATTGTATTCATTTTTCTGATTGCAATTTTGCATTAATCGAAAATTAAAGGATACGACTGCAGCAAAAATAAGGATAAAAACCTAACACGTTCTTTTTACAAGCATCGATGAGAACGTATGCTGTTGAACTGACTCGACGAGACGAACGATTACACTCGTTTATTGCGTACGTTCCAACATTATCTGTCAGGGGTTACGTTCTTTTTCACACGTACGAGTACATACCAGCTTCCGGTTTCCCAAGAACCCCTAGCTCGGTTGTTAAACTCGCTTCTATCCAGAACCATTGGTGTGCGTTTGATGGAGCGTAGGAAAGCAAGCGCCTAATGTACCGTACCTAATCGGACCTGCATTATTGTGGAATCTTGCACTAGCTACGATAATGTTTTCCGACGATGTAAATATGCTGGATATTTATGTACAATAAAGAAAGATTATACATCTACTTTTATATCTTTTTCATTTTTATTTCTCTTAAGACGTTAATTTATTTCATCGAATTCCTTTATCTCGTTATTATTAATACACTAATCTCATATATTGTATATACGTAATAAATATTATTACGTTATACTACCTATTATATTATCTATATGAGATATCTGCTAAAAAATATTACGATCACGGTGGTCCGTTCATCGAGCAAGACAATAATAATCCATTACGCAAAGTCATCTTTTCTTTGCTTCAAAATTAACGATGCAAAAGAAAAAAAACGATGATTACGTTTCTTTTTTTTCCTTTTCTCGACGTTCACCGACGAATATAAACGTGCTAATTAAACTTTTGTCTCTCTCAATCTCGGCCAACAAAACGAATTCGTCGCGTTGTACGGATCGTTCGTTTTATACGCATCGTATCACGCTCGATGTATCTTGTTACAAGTCGTCAGAGAGAGAAAGAGAAAGAGAGAGAGAGAGAGAGAGAGAGAGAGAGAGAGAGAACAACCTACGCTACCACCATTTGTCATTTTAAACAAGACGTCAACGATGCGCCATTAATTTTGTCACCCGACGCGTCGCCAACCGAACGACGGCGTACCCAGTTTCAGCTTCAGCTTCAGCTCCAGTTCCAGCTTCAGTTCCAGCAGCATCAGCAGCAACAGCAAGAGCATGCACAAATTACAGGACTCGGTTGCATTGCAACGCACGCATCTCTCTTTTTACCTTTGACGAACGATTTCCGAGAAAAGAAAAACTCTTTCGAACACCCTTTTTCGTTGTTTTCTTTCTGTTACTTTTAACGTCGCCAAACTTCTCCTCCTCTTTCCTTCCTTCCTTCCTTCCCAGCCGTTCGAGGGAAAGAAGACGAAAATAGCTGAGGTTGGTTGACGGTGTATTCGAGGGTTCATAGAGAATTCGAGCTTTCGAAAAATAAAAAGAAACGAGATGGGGAGAAGAGGATCAGAGGAGGAAATGATCTTTACGATATTTTCCTTTCGGAGTAACGTGTGTGGAAACAAAAAAATTCATTTTTTTTATCGTATCGTTTTGTTTTCTTTTTGTTCTTTTTTTTTCCCCTTTACATTATAAATTTATTTCTTTTTTCTTGATTTTTATGTAACGTTTCCGGCGAGTTTGTACATTCATAGCGATTCTTAAGGATACTTATAATAGTAAATTCGTCGAGTCGTAAGAGAGAGACGATGTAAAAGATGAAATATTATTTTCCTTGCTCGCCATTTGGCTGCGATATTACTAAAACAGGACAGAATATTTTCGATCGTTTCAACTCTCTCGACTTAATAAACGCAAATGTATATATATAATATATATAGTCGTTCGTTTTGATATATACGTATATTTACATAGAATATATTCTCTTTTTGTTTTTTTTATTTTCCTCTGGTTGGATTTCGAAGCGTACGCTTATCGCGAATATTAAATATACATATACAGATATAGGTGCGTACGAAGAATTAATACGAATAGTAAGTATGTACAAAAATACAAAAGGAATTGGCACTGTCGAAAGACTAGCGTGGCAAGGGAAGCATTCATTTTTTCTTTCCTATATAAACCTTTTGACGACGATATTCGAAACTCTATTCTTCTTATTCGAGCTGATAGAAACCTGATCGATCGTAAATGCACAATGCACTATTCTATAGATACATAGACAGATCACTATGCTATATGCAGAGTATTGAATTTATTTTGATGAAACACTCTCCTGATTTCTCGCGAATAGAAGAAGATTGATCGCTTTCCAATATTCCTAATCACGACGTTTCGATCATCATTTACGTAAGTATCATCCCATATCCGGATACTCGCCCATTCTCTCTCTTACTCTCTCTCTCTCTCTCTCTCTCTCTCTCTCTCTAATATATAGGCTACATATCATGGCTTGGTATGCGAAGGAAAGACGAAATGCTTGCTGGCAGTTGGATAGGATCGATACTTAACGCATGGATTATTCGAGTTATTCGATTTCGAGTAAAATAAGCGACACGTTAACGACGTGCGAATTTGCAATAGTAAGTACTTTGAACGAGATATAGCTATTGAACGAATATATACAGGATGATCGACAAATTTCAACGAATTCATTTAGAAAGTATTCAAGTAAATAGGAATTGTATCAAATGAAATAGATGCTTAGTGAACGTTTATAATTTCGTTTCACACATATTTCATTTCATTTTATGTACTTATTCACTGAAATACTTATGCTCTTACGATTAGATTCAAATTGATCACCCTGCTTACAAATGTATACATGAACACACACGTCCGCCCCTTCCCCAGCCCCTCCCTACGTCGAATTCGCTCGATATTTAAACGAGTTTATTATTATTATTATTTCTTTACTATTACTCGTACGAGCATTAAACGTATCTCGTCAATTGCGTGTGGAAATCCTGCAAGCAAACTATTAATTGTCCGAAAGTAGGTCTCTCGTCGGGAGACATGGCCCAACAATAGGCCATCACTGCGAATAACTCGTCAGGACAATTGATCGGCTGAGCTAATCTGTAACCGTCTCGAAGATAACTGGCCATCTCGAATGGATCTACTTCGACGTAGGGTTGTTGCGCCAGTGTCGTTAATTCCCACAGGAGAACGCCGAATGCCCACTAGAAAAAAGAAAAGAAATAAAAAACACATATAATAAAAAGAGAAAAGAAAAAAAACAAAATGATTTCAATCATGAGAAGAAAAATAGGCCAAACAATTAAGCCGCACATTTGCATTTTTCTACAATAATTTTTGTATACGAACGGCGAAAGGAAAATGAAAAATTCTCGAATTAGAGATGAAACGTATAACAAAATAAATATAATAGTAAAACTAGTGGTCTCTAATTGTATATTTACAAATAACATATTTGCATATTATATACTTACAACGTCCGACGCAGTGGTAAACGTTTTACCAAGTAGACTCTCTATAGCTAACCACTTGATTGGTCGATTCTCGTTATCTCCCAAACAATGGTAATCCTGAGGGAAGAGATCTCTAGCAAGGGCGTTGTCCGTTATTTGAACTCGTAGATCATCGTCGACCCTATAAGAAACATACAAAAGATAAATAATATTATAAAATAAGAATCTTCACCGTAACAAATTCGATAATCTCACCTTATTTTTGACAGTGAAAATAAAAATTAAAGCTTTGTGCGGTTAATTAAGAGAGGTTGGGTTTTTTTTTTAATAAGACCAGTATCAAAAAGAAGAAGAAAAACTTTGAGATCATTTTTCGAAGACGAAAACAACGCGATCGCTAATTAAAGAGCCACCGAAGTAACCGGTGTACGGTGCTTAATTAATTCGTTGCACTCAATTAATTCGGTAACGAGACGTAACGGCCTCGGGACTTGCGGAGGCTGCGTTAAAGGGAAGTGCTGTATTAAAGTGCTCGATGCGAGCAGCGCGTGCTCGTAAAAAAGGATGATTTTCGTTGTCTCTCTTAGATATTCAACATGAAAGAGAAAGAGAAACGAAAAGGGGCTAAGAGGGAGGGAGGGCACGCGATACAGGGATACTACATGTGCTACATCTTGCTCTAATTAACTTTTCATAAATTTCAGTTCAATTATATATGAGATTCTAGTAGACATGTTAAGTACGCTATTAATATATTTTATATCTTTCTTTAATTTAACTTATTGCCAAATAAGAAGTATTAATCTTAAGTATCTAATCAATAGTTTTATATTTTCTCTGTGGTATTTAAATTAATTTAACAATTTTTCTCTCTCTCTTTTTACGAATGCGACAGATTTGCCAATGTAATTATTATACATGACGAATTATGTTCATACGTAGGTAACTACTTTTAAAGTTAAAACTTCAACTCGATAAGGATAAGAACAGATGTAATTTGAAATAGATTGTTGTACTTACACGCAATTCCTCGCAGCAAGATCTTTATGGACAAGTCGTTTCCTATGAAGATACTGAACCCCTTTGGCAGCTTGAAGTGCCATTTCGACGACTTCCTGAGTTGTAAGGGCCCTCGGTGGTCCTTCGCTGCTCAGCTTACACCTTAGTAAGAACCTCTTCATGTTTTTGTAACCGGTATGCGGATATAGAAGGAAGGGCGCGCTTCTGTCCTCGATCGAGACACCCAGGACAGGGAGTAAAGCTGGGTGACTCAAACCGTAAAGAGCTAAACCTTCTCGTAGGAGAAGGGCGACCTACAAAAGATAACGTGCTTAGCTTAGTAGAACTCATCGGTGGATTACGTCGTCGTCTCGACCTTAGTTATACTCTCGATCATAGTAATGAGAATTATTGGACGTTATTAAATACATAATCAATAACTGGCTTAATTAATATACATTTTTAGTGATAGTTTAATTTAGAAAAAAAGAAATACATTATGACGTATATCGATTTTGTTTTTTAATCTTTGTACTAGCGTAAGACTTGTATAGTTCAAAAAAATAAATATTAAAAGATAATATAATTTAGGCGGACAACGAGATGGAAGTACAGCAATTATGTAATTTCATTCGTTCCATCATATACTTTAAAGGAAAAAAAATAAGATCGAAGAAGACTCACTTGTGACTGCGAGGCGTGCTCGGCGGCTGTTTTTACTAGAACGTCCCTCGGAGACGAAGCACCCTCCTCGTGATAACTACCCCTATACACGCGACCAAAGGTGCCCTCCATTTCTATGCTGAGAAGACGCACCCTGCATCTACAAAGTACAAAGGATACGACTTAATACGATGACCGTCTTCGTGAAACGGGAAAGGAAAATGTAAATTAATGGCTCTTGTCGTGCGTCGTGACGTATATAGTAATAAAAAATTACATTGCCAGCCAGTAGCTATTGCACAATTCCTAACTTATGGAGAACCAACGCACACCGTCGTTTCGATTCCGATTGTGAGTGTCTTTAAATGACTCGTTTGATTTATTACTCGTTAGTTACCTCGGTAATTAGTTAAGACGTCAAAGTTAAATGAAACAATTTGAAAAAGTTCACTTTACTCGAACAAATATATGTATATGTCATTAAATATCATACTTTGATGCATCACCATAAATACGTATAAATTAATGACTTTTATTTATAATATATAATAGATATCTACTAAAACTCCTAACGTATCATTCGTGACTCACATTATATATCTATGTATATCTACACAAGTTATTTGAAAATAGGCCTTAACGTAAATGTATTTTAAGCCCTGATCTGGCACGAAAGTCGATTGGAGTGTCGATAACCTCGTAATCCTGAGTGCTTTCAGTCGTTTTTCTTTCATCTTATTTTTTGTTTCCTTACCCTCGTTCGTACTCCTCGTTTTCTTCCTTCGTTTGGAATTTTTCATTCCAAAATGGATCGTTGAAATATGGAGTATTTTACGAACAGATATTTCGTTGAATAAATCATTAACGTAATGGTCCTATCTATCATCATTTTTATATTACGATACTAATAAAAGGAATAATTTATTTTGTTACTTTTATGAAGAAACAGGTGCAGTACACTTGTCTTTACCTTTGTACGGTGATCTCTTGAATTCTCTCGTGTAGCTCTCGACTAGGTCTGTCGTCTAATCTTCTATAAGTGGACGCTGATGCTCCAGACGCCGAGGGTGGTGGAGTTTCCGGAGATAGGAAGGTTTGCGCTGGACCAACCCCTGTTCCTCGTTCGACGCTACACGCGGAGCTGATACCTCTGGACTCTCTACAAGGATAATAAACTCGTCTAGATTTCTTCTGTCTCTCATTATTAATATAATACACGAGTGTGATATGTATTATACGTATGTTATTATTTCACACGTCGACAATGGTTATCACCAATGCTTTGTTCTCTACTATCATGAGAAACGAAACAAAAAAATAACATTCATATGTATATTCTAACATGAGACGTGTTTGTCTTGATGATAATCCGTTAACCTCTTTTCCATTTGAAGTAGGCCATTATCCCTTTTACGAAGAACGTACATAAATAAAGAAAGAAGAAGTCGACTTACTGTAAAGGATCCCTATGCCTTCTGGCCTTCTTATCTCGAACGTAATAGGCCACCACGAGAACGCTTAAGGCAGCGATAAAGGCACAGGCACATCCGATGGCTGCGTAGAACACCTGTCCACCGGAAGTAGAACCCGAAGCAGCTACTAAAACCTCTTCGGGTCCGGTGTAACTGCTCTTCTCTTTTAAGCAGATCTTTTTTCGTCTAAATTCTAAACTCGTTGTATTTCTCTTAGATACGGAAACATTTATTCGTAAGGTTAGGTCCACTTCGGCATCGTATGGACCACAATGCAAAGCTAGGGCCCAAGTTTGTACGATACCAACCGGCATCTCGCCTGTTTGAGAGATGTTCAGCGAGCTGCTTAGTGCGGATGGATTGCTGATATCTACGTCCAACGTGTAAGGAAGCTGAAAGTCAATTGTATTTGAAGAATTAATCGAGATAGTTTTATACGAACTTAAATCGACTGATAATATGATCAAATAAATTACAACCATCTAACAATAACTAGAAAGAAGATAATGAAATCTGAGGATTCGTTTCAGTATTAATGAATTTAACTGTAAAAGTAATATTTCATTGACGTGAATGATACGATGGGAGACAGTTGGTGATATATCAAATGTTAATGGATCAATGAGACTGAGATAATTGAGTACCCTCAACCTTTTTACAATACGTTACTATGAAAACACGATTTTGATATAACAACAGCTTTCGTATAACACGACTTCCATATAGGGTGAGGATATATATCATCCCCATGAGGGTATATATCAAACATTTGACGAGAACACGGAGATGAAACGTTATTGAATGGTGCTATCGAACTTTTCTTCTCGGCGAGTATTTTCTAATCCATTAACGAAGTTGTGGCTTCGGTTAATAGATCGATAGCCTCGGTTAGTATAGGTAGGTAGGTAGGTATACCTAGGTGTATAGGTGGGTAATGGTTGGTATTTCCGCGTGGAAGGGTGGAAAACGAATGAAACAATGTCGGCGAGACTAAACGAGCGAGAACGTTGAACCTTCTGGTAATCTCGAGCGAACCATTCTCGGAAGACAATTTGCGCACCGCGAGGGGCAAAGTGAGTTTAGAGAACGAATGGAGAGAAAGAGAAAAAGAGAGAGAAAAATAGAGAAAAAAAAATAAGATGCAGAAGAAGAAGAATAAGAGACTAGAGCGAAGGAAAGCAAAGCCTCAACGGCTGATTACCAGCTTGCGATGATGATCGGTTCTTGGTTAGATGTAGAAAACGAGAGAGAGAGAAAGAGAAAAGTATAAGAGAGGCTCGTCAACTACGCTGCTTGTCGCTACCACCGTTCGTTTTGCGGTCTCTTACGACCACGAATAACTTCCTCGTGAAATGGCTACGAATGTTCCTGCGAACAGCCTCTAATGGCGTTCGATTTCAACGCCTTCCGAAGTCTTCGCGTTCCAAACCGACGATATCTCTCGCCCCATAGACTTTCTCGCAGCTGCTAAGCTTCCAGGTAAAGGTGTTCATAGTTGATAGCTCGTTAATCTTGTTACCGCGTATCGTTCATGCTTCTAATAGAAAAATACGATAAAATACATTTTTTATTCCTATTTGGTTAATTATGTTTTTCTTTTCTACAGAGTCATTTCAATTCCCAATAATTAAAACGTTGATATCGAATATAAGGTAAATTCATCAATGAAATGAAATAACAAGTTTCGAAATTTCGTTGAACGTTAATTAATGATCCTATCAATGATATTACTGTTTCTATTTGTAACTTTGTAATGATTTTTATTTATCAACTTGATGCTAAAAATTCGACTGCAGCAGGATTGTAGAACGCATAATGTACAATCTTTACTTGCATTCGAATTCTCGTTATTGAAAGAGACGCAAAAGGAATTAAAAAACCGTAAAGGTGCTAACGCGAATACTTGACGCTGTGTAAGCAGTAGCTTTCTTTCAAACGAGTTGTCCGCGAGAAGAAAGACTCAAATGAGATGTGTTTACCAACGGTCCGATGTTCCGGGTCACTTCTTCTCTTTCTCGAGAAGATTCTATCTCTAACATGGAAAAAGAAATTCTTTCTTTCGGTCGAAAGGAAAAAAACATCTCATTTATCGTTGACACAATATAAACGTAAATTCTTGAGAAAATTGAATGGCGAGGGAAGGGCCGGCAGGTAGCGGGGGGTCTTCGAAAGAAAAATTTGCTTTAGCCGATTAAAGTAAGAATAAAAAAATATAAGTAATCAATATTTTATTTGTTGTTTTATTATTCGATTAATTTATGAATCACCGTGGATACGTTTACCCGTATACAAACTTTTTCTCATATCGAAGAATTTCCTTAAATGCCTGGCATACTCCTCCTCCTATCTTCTCCAGACTGATTTACAAACAATGTGAGTAGAAACAGAAGGAAGGGAGGAAGGAAGGGAGGAAGGAAGGGAGGAAGGAAGGGAGGACGAAAGAAAGGGAAGAGGAGAGAGAGTTTGATCGACAGCCACCTGCGAGTTTAACTACCATTCAGGACACCCGCTTTTGTCACGGAGGTGACGGATGTCTTGGAACCGCTCGTCAGTCTTCCTCTTCTCCTTCTTTTTCTCTATCTTATTCTTCTTCCTCTCTCGGATAACTCTCTCTTCTTTTCCTTTTTCTCTCTGAAGCTCGCGCAGAAGAGCTCGAAGAAGTGGCTGAACCACTTTGTCCTACCCCGAGCGATCTTCTCTTTTTTTCTCTACCTCGTCGACGAGTCAATCCGACACCACGTTGCGCACTTTGTCCACTTTCCGCCGTCACTTTGTCCAGGTACCTACCTACCATTCCTTCGACCACCGCGAAGAAAAATAACACGAGAGAAAAAGAAAGAAAATCTAAAGTACTTGACGAAACAACAAAACTTTATCCACCTTGGACACTTTTTTTTTTATTTCTTCTTCTGCCATGCAAATGAAATCATTAAAACGATAATGATTTGTATCCTTTATTCGCGATATTTTAACGAGTTAGAGAGATTTTCAGAAAAAGGAAATATTTTTCTAAAGAAACTTTTACGCCATTGTATTTGTTCGAGAATTCGATGAGGTGCGGGATAGGAATGATATGCTTCGATAATCCTGATAACTACGTTCTAAGAAGGTAAGAAAAAAAAAACTGAGGAGAGGAAAAAGTAAGAGGAAAGGAGGAAGAAGAAAAAGAATAAGAAGGAAGAAAAAAATATGATAGTAGCTTCAACGTGACCATTCAACCTTGACGAACGAGGAGTTGAACAGTCGGCTGGTTGCATCGTATATCGCTAAATCGTCGAGGCTTTTCAGATAACGAATGAGTTATCGTTTCTTTTAACTTTTTATTTTCCTTATCAGGAAAACATTATTCCCTATCACATATAAATCTTGAAATAAATAAATTCTCACTTACCGGTCTGCCAGCAAGATTTTGCCATGTGAAATGCAACTTGTGAACTTGCGCTGGAACCGGTACAACGAATTTAATGGCATAATCGTTGATCACACCTTCTCTCACGTAAAACAATTCCGCTTGGAGACCTAGAAAGGAAAGAAAATTTATTCTATTGTGTATTTCTTTTCTTACTTTATGTTTTATTATCTTTTCATTTTTTGTTGTTCATAAATCGTTTGTTTTTTGTTCGTAAATCAGAATTTATTACGGCTTTGGGACAATAGGGGACACGGCAAATCTAGGTTTATCGGAAAATCTTGTATGCGCGTACGTGTGTATGTGCGTGAGCCTAGATAGGTCCGCCGAGGCATGATAGGTATTTTCTAACCACGGGATATAGTGCCCTAGTGACGTCATACTAGAGAGAAAGGAAGAAGTTTATTTATCAAAAAGGGACAGAGATAGACAAATGGATAGATAGAAGTTAAGTGGGGGAGAAATAGTCGGATAAGAAAACGAATTAGCAAAAGAAAACGATACGAATGTTTCGCATAGATGACTCACGGCACCGTATTTGTCCGGCGGCTACCGCAAACACTAGCGTGAGCTTGTCCAACAAATCTGCGAAAGTGGGCTGCCGTGCGGTGATAATTTTTGATAAGCGACATGCACGCGGACAAATTCATATAAATGTTTAATTGTAACTGCATTCGATATCAGTTATTTCATTCCTTGTGTACGATATTTCGTATATACGACTAGAAAGTTCTTCACGTTACACCTATACGTCCAAGGTATGAAAGTATAAACAAATGAAATGTATAATTAACAAAATCACGATTCGTAAGTATTACAAATGAGTAAGGTAAAAATATAATGCAATTTAGAAGTGTCTGATTAGAGAGCTTCCACCGATAGGATGGAAGAGATTAAAGAGAAAGAATAAAATGAGAAGGAAGGAAAGGTCAGATAAGTGGATCAGATTCGAAATGTTAAGCGTATCGATTGGCTCGAAGACCGCAGCGTCCGCAGTCGTTCCGCTCGAATGTAATCGACTTCTCGAATCCAAATCGCACGAACACCAAAGCGAGATTTTCTTCTACCCTTCTTAACGTTTTATACCTTTCATCGATGGAAGACAAAGGCGTATTGTTTTATATAAGAAACTTGGCTGCACCATCATTTAGTTGCTGCGCGTTTTCTAACCTATTCCCATCTACTTTGATTACTTGGAGATTCGTGAAAGTAACACTTGACTTATTGTTCTTCATTTTAACCACAAAGTTTTTATTTAATAGCGAAAAGATTCGTCATATCCTAGAATTTTCTTATAAACCGAGTAGTAATACCTAGTTATTTATTATAATATTTAAAAAATCATATATTACTTTAATAAATCAACAAATTACGTGCTCAAAGATAAGATATCATATTAGGCTAGTTTATTAATAAATGGTAATCTAATTTTCCAAGAAAGATATTGAAAAAAGTTAGGGATGAGAGACAATGAAATGGCCCTATGACCGCATTGGAAATAACATCGAGCTACCTAGGTATTCTGAAAATACAAGGGGGGATCGTGTGTCGGTAGGACACAAGGTCACGTGGACCAGTCGACGAAGACAGTGGATAAGGAAGCTGGAGAAGAAGAATACGGGTGCATGGCGTGTACTCTTTTTCTCTACACCCCACCCCTCCTCCCTCCTCATCCCTCTCTCTTTCTAGAGAAGGGTCTCGGTGGTATCTGATAGGACGGTTAACGAGCCACGAGTTGGATTTTTAAGCCACCCGAAGACAATGTGCCATGCCCCTTGGTCGTGTCTTTGCTTTCGGTGTTCTTCTCTACCTCCCCCTTTCATTTCCTCCCACGTCCCACCACCTATACCTCTCCCGTCCCGACGTTTACCGGTTTTCTGCATCAGATATCCTATACCCACGACCCCGACACCGTTGCCCTCCGACAAGCTCCGCCAGAGGCACTCTCTTTCTCTAGATCTTTGCCTCCTCCACGAACTAGAGGAAAAGAACAGAACGGATCCAACGCTGTAGGGTACGTCGTAAAAAAGACGAAGGATACCCCGTAGGTCTTGGAAAATAATTATCCTTCGAGAAAGAGAGAAGTAGTCTGGGCCGAAGCTAGCGTCGTTAAAAAATCTAAACTCACAACGTTCCAATATTTTCTTACTCCTTCTCTCCCTCTCTCTCGTAAAAATGTCCTCAAATATTTCATCTGTCACTTCTATATTCAACGGACCTAAACAATAACTTATTTATATGGGGAGAGAGACGGGTCATCCAGTTTGACCTAAAGACGAATGGATCGATAGTTTGCTTCTTTTCCATTTCGTTTACTTTCCTTTCTTCCAAAATTCATCATCATTTATTACATGAAATCATTATTACATAAAAGCTACAAAATGTTTATCCTCTCTCTCTCTCTCTACCTTTCCGTTTCATCTTTTTTCTTTATCATTTCAAAGTCGCTTTCATTTAAAAAAAAAAAAAATATACAATAATAATTTTTACTACGATGTGTAACCCCTATTCGCGAGTATAATTCCGACGAAAAAGAGAGTAATTAAAAGCAAGTAGTAATAATTACTCTTATAAATTTTCAGTAAAGACATTTTCATCGTTTTTTCTTGTTCATTCTTCTTATTTCCTTGATGATTGAAAAAGAGAATGAGTAAAGATTTTCTCTCTCTCTCTCTCTCTCTCTCTCTCTCTTACTTTCTATCATCAAAGAAATAGGAAAATCAAAGAGCTACCCCTCGTATTCTTATGTCGGTATAAAAAGGCGACGAGATAAAAAAGTAATCTTCTTTTAATCTAGCAAAGAAATTCCTCTCGTTATTACTAGCTACCGAGTACAGCTCGATTCTGACCTCGTTACGTTTCTACTTTTGGATGCTTTCTCTGTGTGATGCCTTTTGCTTTTTTCTTTCCTTCTCCATCTACTACTATTACTACTACTACTACTTCTTCTCTTTCTTCTTCTACTTCTACTTCTTCATCTTCTTCTTCTTCTTTTTCCGAGCAATTATACGAGAAGTTTGCATGAGGGTGGATAGCTAGAAGGGTGGTAACCACCGAACATCCTTTGATGTCTGCTGCGCCCGCAGCCAGGCCAGAGTGCAAGCGTGAGCCTCCAAGACGGGAGTACGATGTAAACAGAGTGTATGAGAAAGAAAGAGAGAGAGAGAGAGAGAGAGAGAGAGAGAGAGAGAGAGAGAGAGAGAGAGNAGAGAGAGAGAGAGAGAGAGAGAGAGAGAGAGAGAGAGAGAGAGAGAGAGAGGCCTTTTCAGGGAAGGCGTCGACCCTCGACAAGCACTGCCAGACACAATTGTCACGAGGGGTTCTGCACCACTTCGGCTCTTTTCTCGCAAAACACGTACGAACGCTACCACTCAGAAGGACCATAATGGCAAGGAAAAGCTGCTGCAAGAGGACAGTATGTGTGCTTTCTATCTAACTCCCTTTACTTCGATGATCTCACTCCTCGAATCAAAGGTAAAGAAACATAGAAACTAGTATAGAGCAATACACATACGTGATGATATCTTCCCTAAAACTACGAATCAAACCAATAGAACGTTTCAAATCTTAATGTCAAGAAAAAAAGTTTGAAACATTTCATCTTTCTGTTATTTTTAATATTCCTATTATTAAGCATAAAAATAGAAGAGTCACAAAATGTTTGCCTTTACAACGAGAAGACCCAATTCTAATTGGGGGGAAAAAATGATACACAAATAAGAATGAAGCAGATCGATGATGGTATACGCAGCAAGGGGTACCATCATTTCTAAGTTCTTGATCGAGCATCGAGGATCATGAGAGCAGAAAAGAAATCGATCTCAATGAATGAGACGCAACGTTAAAGGAAGGAAGGAAAGAAGGAAGGTGGGCTTTTCGCGAAACACCCGGCTAAATTTTGCAAAAAAATACCGGTGTCCCCCGCTGTCAAAATACTACATTGAGCTAAGTTGACGAGGAGTAGTATGGTCTTTCTAAGGTGAGTTCTTTAATAATAAAGGAAGAAGAAGGAACCAGGGGTCCCGAAAAGAAGGCCATCGTGAATCGGCGTCTACACAGCGGGAAGACAAAGTTTTTTTCTCTCTCTCTCTCTCTCTCTCTCTCTCTCTCTCTTTCCTTCTCCTTTCCTTTCTATACTTTTTTATTCTCTTGCTGTGGGCTTTGGGTCAGAAACCTAACACCTACGGAATACGAGAGGCATGGTGTGCTTATAACGAGATCCTCCCGTAGTGAGCCTTACAAAAGGACACGGCGACGAGGGTAGAAAAGGAGAAAGGAAAAAGCAAAAAGGGTGATCCACAGGTCCAAGGGACAGGAAATATAGGATTTTAAAGTTCCCGATGATCCCTCCACGGGGTATAGACGTCCTACCGGCTTCGATATGTTTCCTTAAATAATATCAATAGATTATGTACATAAAATAATAAGTTAATGAAATTATTCTTAACTTTACTATCAACTAACGTAACTTTTTGTCTCCTTATTAATTATGATTAAATTTGTGTGTTTACTTTAGAACAACATATTTCATTACTTCAAACTCATATTTCGAAGTTGAAACGCTCGTAGAATTATGTCAGGTGTCACTTGACATCGTGTAAAGTAGAAATTCATTGTAGATGCAGAACTACTAGTCCACTTACTTTAATGTTGAATTTACTAGTACCTTTGATGAATTTCATCTCCATTATAGCGGAACTTTCGAGTGCTTGCTCATTTCGCTGTTTGTTATTTACTCTACCATTGTCATGATACTTTTTCTTTTGTATAAAATAAATGAACAAATCCCAATTGGAAAAAGTTATAATTTCGTCAAGATATATATCTATATATGATATTATAAAATATATCAAATAAAAATTCTTCGCGCGTGTAACGCTACTATCATTTTCCTGTACTCGATTCATTTTAATACAGAATCCTTCTCGTAGGATACCGACAATGGCGTAGGAATTGAAATTAACTTTCTCGATGCGTATATGGACACAAACTCCGTTCTTGATCATTTACGAAACAATATGTACTGTTTCGTTTCTTTTAATCACAAGTTACAACTTAGTAATAAATAGTAATATTAGTAATAATGTTAAAAGATTAAATTTCTATCATA